CATTATTCTTCTCTGGCATGTTTATTGGGGGGGAGGGGAAGTAGGGATGTCTTCCATGCCTTTAGATAAATTATTTAAAGTGAAGAATTGCAGGGCACTGGTGGCTCATGCCTGTATTCCTAGCTACTCAGAAGACTAAGATTTGAGAATTGTGGTTCAAAGCCAGGCCAAGCAAGAAACTCCCCAGGAGACTCTTAGCTCTTTTTCTTTTTTTTTTTTGGGGGGGGGGTCCGGTCGTGGGGTCTAACTCTGGGCCTGGGCGCTGTCCCTCAGCTCTTCCGTTCAAGGCTAGCGCTCTACCACTTCTGGCTTTTTAACACAGTGCCACTTCTGACTTTTTTCTTTTTGCTTATGTGGTACTGAGGAATCGAACCCAGGGCCTCATGCATGCAAGGCAAGCGCTCTACCACTGAGCCACCTTCCCAGCCTGAGACTCTTATCTCTAATTAACTACTCAACAATTGGAAGTGGAGTTGTAGCTTAAAATGGTAGAGCGCTAGCCTTGAGCAAAAAGAGCTCACGGACAGTGCCCAGGTCCCAAGTTAAAGCCCCACAATCCAAAAAAAAAAAAAAAAGGGTGAAGAATTATACATTTATAACATGACTTTTTTCCATCACTTTTCTTCTTTATTTGCCTTTCCTATTCTTTCTTCTTTCTTTTTTTGTGCCAGTCTTGGGGCATGAATTTAGGACCTAGGTGCTCTCCTTGGGCTCTTATTCTCAAGGCTAGCACTTTACCACTTGAGCCACAGTTCCATTTCCAGCTTTTTTTTTTCTAGTCCTGAGGCTTGTGAATTAAAGGCATTGGCACTGTCCCCAAGTTTCTTTTGCTCAAGGCTAGCATTCTACCACTTGAGCCATAGAGTCACTTCTGGCTTTTTTTGCTTATGTGATACTGAGGAATGGAACCCAGGGCTTCATACATGCTAAACAAGCACTCTACCACTGAGCCAGCCCTCCATTTCCAACTTTTTTGGAGCTAGGAGTCACACAGACTTCCCTGCCCAGGCTGGCTTTGACCCGTGATCCTCAGCTCTCAAGTACCTGAGTAGCTAGGATTACAGACATGAATCACCAGTGCCCAGCTTGCCTTCTAGGTATCTAGCCTTTTTGATGGATGATACCTCTGCATCTTTCTATAAAGTCTTTAAACTTACTCTAGGATCGATTGTGGTTAGAGATAGAATGTTCTTCTCCCCAGAACATCCTTTCCTACTTCTTTACTAAAATTTCCCCAGCTTTTGATTTTCTATGTTCATCTGGAATTCTTCATGCTCCTGTCAAAAATCTTCCTGCTCCATCATCACCAGACTTCCTTAATAAGTTTCTGGTGAGTGAATTATATCAAAAGCTGCATAGCCCAGATAAATTATGCCCACTAGTTTGCCCTTGTCCACTACATTAATTCTCCTTGGGGCTTCTGACAAAACAGAGACACATACCTTATTCTAGATATATGATTTTCACCAGCTTGTTGGCCATGTCCCATTTTTCAGGCTGACACTTAAGAAAGCCCAACTGAGCTAAGGTAAGATTCAGTTTACATTTAGAGAAGCCAAGCCATTGCTTTGAATGACCCACATCCACCATAATGTTCTGAAAATATTCATTACTGATGATGGCGCATTCCTGTCAAATATAATTCAACTCCTTTTAACTATCCTCAGCAGTTTTCCTTGGCTATTTTTCTTGTTGTTGTAATAAGGCCCTAGAGGCTTTTACAATGACAGAGATCATAACAGCTACCATGCCAGCCCCTTCATATTACCAATAAAACAGGTGTTGATGATAAATTACATATTTATTAGTAGCTATATGCCCCATTCATCATTTCCTCCATGACAATGAAAATGATCAGCTCCTGGGATTTAAAACACATTAATATCATTCAACATATTCTAGTCCCTCCTTAAGTATTTCTTTCTCACAGCCTTTCCTTCCTCCAAATCTCTCCTTGTAAAAATAAGCTCCAAAAGAGGGACTAGTGTCATGCCTGTAATCCTAGCTATTCAGGAGTCTAAAATCTGGAGGATTAAGTTCAAAGTCAGTCTAAGCAGAAAAACTCTTGAAACTCTATCTTCATCTCCAGAAAAAAGCCAAGCTGGAGGTGTGACTCAAGTGGTAGAGCACCAGCTAAGCAAGCAAGCTGAGTGAGCAAGAGACTTTGAGTACAAACACTAGTACCACCAAAAAGAAAAAGAAAAATAAGCTCCAGATTTTGTTATCCATCCCTTTCAACTTCCCCGAATAAAGTCTATCTAGAAACTACATCAAAATCACCAGGTGAAGAGCTAGAAACTTCTCTCTCCAACTGGCACATTTCTGTTTGTGTGTATGTGTATGTGCTTTAACTCAGGGCCTGAATGCTTTCCGTGAGCTAGCATGTACCACTTGAACCACAGCTCCACTTCCAGCTTTTTTACGGTTAACTGGAGATTAAGAGTCTCTTGAGGGCTGGGAAGGTGGCTTGCCTTGCATGCATGAGGCCCTGGGTTTGATTCCTCAGCACCACATAAGCAGAAAAAGCTGGAAGTGGCGCTGTGGCTCAAGTGATAGAGTGCCTGCCTTGAGCTGAAGAGCTGAGGGACAGTGCCCAAGCCCAGAATTCAGGCCCCACAACCGGGGGGAAAAAAAAGTCTCATGAACTCTCCTGACCATGCTGGCTTCAAACCACAATCCTCAGATCTCAGCCTCTTGAGTAGTGACTTTTCTATTAGCAATGTTAGTTATTAAGTGAACAAAGTCAGAATGCATTCAATAAGCACCTGACTCCGATTCAGAAAAGCAATCCCATACAAAGAGCATTGTGCCAAATACTTCCTACTTCTTTTTTTTTTTTGGGGGGGGGTCTGGTCATGGGGCCTGAACTCTGGGCCTGGGCACTGTCTCTCAGCTCTTCAGCTCAAGGCTAGCGCTCTACCACCTGAGCCACAGCGCCACTTCTGGCTTTTTTCTTTTTGCTTATGTGGTGCTGAGGAATTGAACCCAGGACCTCATGCATGCAAGGCAAGTGCTCTACCACTGAGCCACCTTCCCAGCCCCATACTTCCTACTTCTTGAAAGCAATCCCTAATCTTCCTTGATCAGCCTCCTTCCTTTTTTGTGTCTTGTCTTTGGACAGAAACCAAGTACATACCAAGCCATGTATAAATCTCTGGGTCTGCCCAGGCACCAGTGGCTCACAGCTGTAATCTTAGCTACTCAGGAGGCTAAGAACTGAGTATTACAGTTCAAAGCCAGGCTGGGCAATGTGGCTCAAGTGGTAGTCTTGAGCACAAAAGGCTCAAGGACAGAGCCCAGGCCCTGAGTTTAAGGCCCACAAAAACAACAACAAAACAAAACAAAAACGTCTGAGTTCTGTTCTTCATTTCAAAACTCTAAAGCCAGAATGGGTTTCAGTGACTCATGACTATAATTCTAGCTATTAGGAGGCTGAGATTTGAGACAGAAGTTTGAAACCAGCCAGGAGTAGATAAATCCATGAAACTCCTATCTTCTATTAGCCAGCAAAAAGCCAGAAATGGAAGCACAGTTTAAGTGGAGTATCAGTTCATAAGCCTATAGAGAGCCTAGAAAGAGCACAAGGCCCTGAGTTCAAGTCCCAATATCAGCACACATATAATACATACACATAAAATCTACAGCCAGGGGCAGGGAAGTTGGCTCAGTGGTAGAGTGCTTGCCTCGCATGCTTGAGGCCCTGGGTTCGATTCCTCAACACCACATGAGCAGAAAAATCTGGAAGTGGAGCTGTGGCTCAAGTGGTAGAGCACTAGCCTTGAGCTGAAGAGCTGAAGGAAGCGCCCAGGCCCAGAGTACAGACTCCAACCGACAAAAAAAAAATCTACAGCCACAGCTAGGCTTGAAAAGAATGCTAGGCACTTATGGGCTCACCTGTAATCCTATCTACTCAGAAGGCTGAGATCTGAGGATCATGGTTCAAAGCCAGCCGGAGCAGGAAAGTCCAAGAGACTCTTATCTCCAATTAACCAGCAGAAAAGTAGCTCAAGTGGTAGAGCGCTCACCTTGAGCTGAAGAGCTCAGGGACAGCACCCAGCCCAGAGTTCAAGCCCCACAACTGACAAAAAAATTTCAATCCTTCAAAAGAAATGCACTAGGTCAGTGTAGCTGTCTTAGCCTACAAAAAAAGTTAGTAACACTCTATCTCAAAAAACAAGTAGGAAGCCAGTCCCGGCAGGATAAATAAATATAGGTACATGACTATAATCCCAACAAGGAAGGCAGAGGTACGAGGCTCACCATCTGAGCCTAAAAAATGCAAACTTCTATTTGAAAAGTAAACTAAAGCAAAAAGGGCTGGGGGCAAGGCTCAAGTGGTAAATTGTTTGCCTAATAAGTACAAAACCATGAGTTCAAACTCTAGTACTGCCGTAAATAAACAGCTCCAAGCTTCCTTTCCATAAAATTCTGATTTACTGTTATATATACATAGTAAATCCCAAGCACTTTTTATTATAAAATTCTTAGGTGATTCTAATTAACTAGGTTTGAAAACTACTACATTAATAATCACTTTTCTAGAAATTATATCACAAGATTTCTTTAAACAACTATCTTCTCTGTCCCAAGTATTTTTGTTTGTTTGTTTAATTTTTATAGTCATGGAGCTTGAGCTCTGGGCCTAGGTGCTGTCCCTGAGCTCTTCAGCTCAAACCACTTGAGCCACAGCACCACTTTCAGTTTTCCGGTAGTTAATTAGAGGTAAGAATCTCACAGACTTTCCTGCCTAGGCTGGCTTTGAACCTTGATCCTCAGATCTCTGGCTTCTGAGTAGCTATGATTACAGGCATGAGCCACCAGCACCCAGCTTTGCTCTTATGTATTTAACATTGGATTTTTAAGAATTTTATATGGCAAAATTAATCATTATATCATTTGCCAAGACTCTATCTTCTACATTAAGTAAAGTCCTGAAAAGAGTGCTGTAATGTAAGAAGATCATAGAAAAACAACAACTACCCATTAAGGGACCCACCTACCTCATACTTTCTGTAGTTTACCAGCAAAGCCAAGAGGACAACAGCATCATATCCATGCTCCCTGCGACTTGGGGGATGGGAAAGTATCTGCAATAAGAACCAGAAAGACTTAATTTATAAATGTCAACTCCTGAGAAATAGATCAAGAAAATTTGAGATGAAAGTGTACCGGAAAAAGAAAAGGAAATTGACTGACCTGTAAAATTGCTTCAAAAATGCTGTTGATCATTACATATTCCAGGATAGTGTTCTGGCTAATGTTGTCTGTAACCTGAATGTAATTAAAGGCTTTTTAAGGGTCTATTCCAAGACTGTCATATCACATATGTATATCTTATCAAAGCATTTAAGAAGGAAATAGGAATATTAAAACAAACTCTTTCATATCTCTTTCACAAGTACCCCAAAGCCACCAGAGTCTGAATAGGCAGATAGCAGATAATATATACAAGTACAGGAAATTTGCAAATTAAAACTTCCTAACACTCAGGAAGCAGAGGCAAGAGAAATTTACACTGTGAGACTCTGCCTCAAAATAAAAAAAAAAATCTAGCCAGGCACCTGTGGCTCACGCCTATAATCCTAACTACTCAACAAGCTGAGATCTTAGAATCTCAGTTTAAAGCCAGCCAGTGAGACACTTATCTCCAATAAAAACTACCAAAAAGCCAGAAGTAGAGCTGTGGCTCAAGGGTAGAGTGCTAGCTTTGAGCAAAAGAAGCTCAGAGACAGCGCTCAAGCCCCAAGTTCAAGACACACACAATATCTTCCTAAATCTTTGAACTTCTTGTTTCTCTCACAAATTCTGCTTAACAGTTTCAGAGATTTTATTCCTCAAACATGAAGAAGTCTATGAACACAAGTCTTCAAAAGTGTCAGGGAGAGGGAACCACCTGAAATTGCTGAACAACTTTTTTTTTTTTTTTTTTTGGCCAGTCCTAGGCCTTGGACTCAAGGCCTGGCAACTGTCCCTAAGCTTCTTTTGCTCAAGGCTAGCTGGCACTCTACCACTAGAGCCACAGTGCCACTTCTGGCTTTTTCTGGTTATATGGTAATGAGGAATTGAACCCAGTGCTTCATGCAGGCTAGGCAAGCACTCTACCACCAAGCCACATTCGAAGCCCTCACTTATTTCATTACAAAGCTTAGGTAAGCCTCTAGGTATAAAATCATAGCTAGCAAAATAAAACTAGAATCACAAGAACATTTTCAAATGAAACCTTCTGAGAAAGACAAAGGTGACGATCCAGAAGACAATAGTCCTCTGAAATGATCTCTTCTAAAGTGTTAAGTATCACATAGCTTAATTTCCAGTAATCAAAATAGAATGTAAGCTAAGCACTGATGGCTCACATCTGTAATTGTAGCTACTCAGGAAACTGCGATATGAGGATTACAGTTCAAAGCCAGCCCAGGCAGTAAAGTCCGTGAGACTCTGATCTCCAATAAACCACTAGAAAACCGGAAGTATCACCGTGGCTCAAGTGATAGAGTACTTGCCTTGAGCTAAAGAGCTGAGGAACAGTGCCCAGGCCCAGAGTTCAAGCCCCACAAGACCCCCCCCACCAAAAAAAAAGGAAGTGGCACTGTGGTTCAAGTGGTAGAGTACTAGCCTTGAACACAAAGAGGCTCAGCAGTGCCCAGGCCCTAAGTTCAAGCCCCACAAGACGACCCCCCCCCCAAAAAAAAAGTGCATGCAACTAACTTCCTCCTATACATTCAGACACAAGGAGTAACGGTATCTCTAAGGTCTGTCCTGGGAATCGAAGCAGGTTCCTCCCTTCTCTTGATTTGGTCTCCTCCCAGTACCTCTGTCACCTAGGTAACTAGTGGCACACCTGGGCAGTCACCTCCCCCTCCACCAAGGTCATATCCTGGGCTGCCCCTATCCTGCCTCCCAACCAAGGAAGGGTCCCAGGCCCTGAGGTCACATCCTCATCCAGTGTGGGCATACCTTCCCTCACCTGGCCACACCTTCTCCCCCTGCCCCTTCCCTACTTAAACCCAGGTCACACCTCAGCCCAATCTTCAGCCATACATTTCCCACCATGTACCATGCGGCAGTTCAGTAAATAAACTTCTCTTCCTACCTGAATACCAAGTGGTGTTCTCTTTACCCGTTACCTAATTAAACCTACCTATTTGATTTATCTAACAATATCCAGTAGAGTTCTTTTTCTCTTTTCTTTCTAATTTTGAGTTCAATAATTCAAATAGGCCGGGTGCCAGTAGCTCATGCCTGTAATCCTAGCTACTCAGGAGGCTGAGATCTGAGGATCACAGTTCAAAACCAGCCCACAAAGGAAAGTCTCTGAGACTCATCTCCAATTACCACCAGAAAACCAGAAGTGGCACTGTGGCTCAAGTGGTAGAGCACTTGCCTTGAGCTGAAGAGCTCAGGGACAGCACTCAGGCCCAGCGTTTAAGCCCCAGGACCAACCAAAATTAAAATAAATAAATAAATAAAACTTGCCCTGCTGTCAATTAACATCTTTGACAAACATAGATGGGTCACTTACCGTCACTAAACAAAGAAGAAGTTTCAGACATAAGCTCTTCAGACTTTCAGAACCTTCTGCACAAAGCAATGAATCCAAACTCTCCATCAAGTTCTAAGAAATAAACCCATTAACCATTAAAGATAAACATAAAAAGAACTCAAACACTGTCCAACTCTGGGTTATGTTACATAGGATAGTGTGAACAACACAGAATAAAGTAACCATGTCATTCCCCTAATCTAGGCCTTGTAAGATCAAAGAAAAAGAAAACTTCAAAGTCTATTACATTTGGGGAAAATGCTTTAGAACTACACAGAATAAAGAATTCTCACTAGGTGCTGGTGGCTCACACCTGTAATCCTAGCTACTCAGGAGGCTGAGATCTGAGGAAGGATCACGGTTCAAAGCCAGCGTGGGCAGTAAAGTCCATGAGACTCCTGTTTTTGTTTTTGTTTTGTCAGTTGTAGGGCTTGGACTCTGGGCCTGGGCACTGTCCCTGTGCTCTTCAGCTCAAGGCGAGCACTCTACCGCTTGAGCCACAGCGCCGCTTGCCGTTTTCTAGTGATTTATTGGAGATAAGAGTCTCACAGATGTTCCTGCCCGGGCTGGCTTTGAACCATGATCCTCAGATCTCAGCTTCCTGGGTAGCTAGGATTACAGGAATGACCACTGGCTCCTGGCTCAGTGATACTCCTCTCCAATAAACCACCGGAAAACTAGAAGTGGCACTGTGGCCCAAGTGGTAGAGCACTAGCCTTGAGTTAAAGAGCTGAGGGACAATACCCAGGCCCAGAGTTCAAGCCCCATGAACAAAAAGAAAAAAAAAAAATCTCTCTTACCAACGGAATCTTTGCAACCCATTATAATGGTTAAATCATTGTATATAAATTTAATAGCTGGTTTTATAAGGGGTTTGCATATGTGGTACTGGTGCTTGAACTTATTTATCCCTGCATTCTTACTTGGATTCTTTGCTCAAGGCTGGCTCTCTACCACTTGAGCCAGGTTTTTGCTTTTTAACTCAGTCTCTTAAAATATCTACCTGGCTGGTTTTGAACTGTGATACTCAGATCTTGGCCTCATGAGTAGGTACAATTACAGAAAGGAGTCACAGCTATTATAATTGAATTTGAACTCAGAATCTCATGCTTGTAGGCAGGCTACCATTTGAGCCAATCTCTAGCCTTCATATTTGTTAAAGAAAGCATATCATTTAATGCAGCACATTAAACAAATGATAAAGACAATATCACTTACAACTGGTCACTACTGGCCATATGTATGATCAAATAAAGCAAACTTGTGTCCATCCTGGTCAACTCCATTTAGCAATATGAACAGAACTTATCATTTTCATTAAATATCAGTTTTTAGACCCAAATTAATTAAAAGATGAAACCTTAGCTAGACACTCACACATGTAACCCTAGCTACTCAAGAGGCTGAGATCTGAGGATCATGGTTTGAAGCAAGCCTGGGCAGGAAAGTCTGTGAGGCTCTTATCTTCAATTAACTACTCAGAAAATGCAGGACATGGTGGTGTGGCTCAAGTGGTAGAGTGCTAGCCTTGAGCACAGAGAGGCATAAAGAGGCTTAGGAACAGCACCCAGGCCCTGAGTTCAAGCGCTAAGACTGGCCAAAAAAAAAGGAGAAACCTTTATACTGCAACAGAAAAAGAGGAAAAAAATTCTACATTAATTAAAAGAGAAGAACAGTTGGAGAATAAAGAGTTGGCATGCCAGAAAGCCAAACTAAAGGTTCAAAATAAACTTTTTCAGTTCAATTCAATAAATATATAAGCTTTAGTCTGTACTAAATAGTATGTTTCCAAAGGATGTAAGAAGAATAATGCCTTGAGTCTTGCTGACAAAGTGGTTTTAGTCTAATAAGAGAAAAAAATAAGCAAATAGTTACAATTCAATTTTTTTTTGGGGGGGGGGCCGGTCATGGGGCCTGAACTCTGGGTCTGGGCACTGTCCCTCAGCATTTCAGCTCAAGGCTTGTGAGCCACAGGGCCACTTCCAGCTTTTTCTGCTTATGTGGTGCTGAGGAATCGAACCCAGGGCCTCATGCATGCAAGGCAAGCACTCTACCACTGAGCTACCTTCCCAGCCCTAATTCAATTATTACTATGACAGAAATGGAGAAAGAAAATTAGTTCAAAAGTCATTTATCTGAAGACCCTTCAGGAGTGAGTTATGTTTTGAAAAATCAGTAAGAATAAATTTAAAAATAAAGAAGAAAGAAATTGTAGGGCTGGGAAGGTGGCTCAGTGGTAGAGCACTTGCCTTGCACGCATGAGGCCCTGGGTTCGATTCCTCAGCACCACATAAGCAAAAAGAAAAAAGCCGGAAGTGGCGCTGTGGCTCAAGTGGTAGAGTGCTAGTCTTGAGCTGAAGAGCTGAGGGACAGTACCCAGGTCCAGAGTTCAGGCCCCACGACCAGACCCAAAAAAAAAAAAAAAAAAAGTAAAAGATTGGTAAATAAAACTGCATTAAAAAAAAAAAAAAGCAACTGTAAATAGGAATGATCAAAGATGAAGTAGGAGCAGGGCATGATGGCTCATGCCTATAATCCCAGGCTGAGGCAAGAAGATTGTAATTTGAGGCCAGTCAGCCAGCCTGAGCTACAAGAGCAATTGAGATTCTCTCTCTCTCTCTCTCTCTCTCTCTCTCTCTCTTTCTCTCTCTCTCTCTCTCACACACATACACACACACACACACATACACTACTAATTAAATGGCTCTGGAAAGCCAAGCATGGTGGTACAGGTCCATAATCTAAGCACTGGGGAAACTGAGGCATAAGATCATACATTCTAGGTCAGCTTGGGCTACACACACACACACAGAACTCCATTTAGCGTCTCTGGATGCAGAGATAAAATACAAGTAGTCCATATTACAGTGCAGAGTGAGACACTATGACAAGAAATGAGACTGGAAGCCGGGCGCAGGTGGCTCACGCCTGTAATCCTAGCTATTCAGGAGGCTAAGATCTGAGGATCATAGTTCAAAGCCAGCTGGGACAGGAAAATCTGTAAGACTCCAATAAACAATTAGAAAACCAGAAGTGGCATTGTGGCTCAAGTGGTAGAGCCTCGATCTGAAGAGCCCAGGGACAGCACTCAGGCCCAGAGTTCAAGCCTCACAACCGACAAAAAAAAAAGAAAGAAAGAAAGAAATGAGACTGGAGAAGTAAATACTGTACAGAGCATGCAAGTTTTATAAAACTAACTAGGAAGTCTATCCTTTACCCTGTTAGAAATAGGAGACTAATGAATTGGTTAAGCAGGAAAGATCTAAGTGTAAGATACATCACACTGAAATCACTGTGGATGATAGACTTAAAGATAGTAAGCTTAGAGAAAGGGAATCCAAGGAGGACAAACCTATTAATTTCTTGAGCTATGTCTTATTTGCCTATGTATCCCCAGTGCCTAGCATATAGATACCTAACAATTATTTGTCAAGAGAGTTTGTCAGGAGACTGAATTAAGGTATCACTACAACCGTTTAGGTGAAAGATAATAGGGACAATAACAACAGGGGAACATAAGACAAATATAAGAAATAAGTGCTAAGTAAAATTAGCTGTGGTAATCCCATGGATTAAAAGATGAGGGAGTGGTGGCAAGGGCTCAAGCCTGAAATCCTAGCTACCTAGGAGGCTGATCTGAGGCTTGCGGTTCAAAGCCAGCCAGGAAAGTCTGTGAGACTCTTATCTCAAATAAACTACCAGAAAACTGGAAGTGGCACTGTGGCTCAAGTGGGAGATTGCTCACTTTGAGCTGAAGAGCTCAGGGACAGTGTCCAGGCTCAGAATTCAAGCCCCAGGAGACCAACAAAAAAAAGATTAAGAAGAGGAAAATGTCAAGAATGATTTCCAGGTTTTTTGCCTTGGGGGACCAAAATCCCTATCTCAAAAGGGAGTGAATGAGGAAGAAGAAAAGAGAAGAAACAATGAGTTCAGTTTAGACAAGAGACACTAGCAGGATTTATGAGTGGAAATATCCTACAAGTGCTCAGTGAAGAAAAGTCTGAATTCAGCTCAACAGGGGATGTTATGGTGAACAATAAGAAAATTGGTAGTCATCAGTTTACCAATAGTAATTAGAACTGTAACAATGAAAGAGAAGCTGTGCTAGTGGCTCATGTGTGTAATCCTAACTACTCAGAAGGTTGAGATATGCAGATCATGGTCCAAAGCCAGCCTGAGCAAGAAAATCAATGAGACTCTTATCTCCAATACCAAAAATCTAGTTATGGCAGAGTGCTGGCCTTGAGCACAAAAGCTCAGGGACAGTGCCTATGCCCTAAGTTCAAGCCCCAAGATTAACACACACATACACACACACACACACACACACACACACACACACACACACACACACACACTCTCTCACACACAAAATGAAATACACACAAAAAATAATGAAATACAGATACACCCTATAATATCGATAAACACTGACAATATCATAAGTAAATAACAGAAACAAAATATCACATATATTATTCTATTTTATGCATTATCAAAACAGTTAAGACAGAGCAAATAATAGTTTTAAGGGACTGAGAAAAGTAATAGGGAATAACTGCTAACAAGTACAAGTTTCTTTTAGTGATAATAAAACTATACTTTGAAATTAACAATGATAGTTACAAATCTACAAATACACTAAAGTGGATTATATACTTCAAGAGTGAATTGTATGTGAATTATAAAATTGTTATTAAGACAATGGTACAAACTGTAGATATAAAAATTCTAAGCTGGGCACAATGGTGCATACTTGTACACCCAGCTACTCAGGAGGCTGAGGTAAAAGGATCACTAGAGCTCACAAGTTTAAAGCCAGGCAACACAGTTATACCACAAATAAATAATTAAATCAAAAATTAAAATAAAAAATTCTGAGCTGTAATGGGATTGCCCAAAATGAATAACTCCCAGAGTGTTACAAGAAATAAAATAGGGGGGGGGCTGGGAAGATGGCTCAGTGGTAAAGCGCTTGCCTTGCATGCATGAGGCCCTGGGTTCAATTCCTCCGCACCACATAAGAAGGAAAAAAAAAAGCCGGAAGTGGCGCTGTGGCTCGTGGTAGAGCGCTAGCCTTGAGGTGAAGAGCTTAGGGACAGCACCCAGGCCTAGAGTTCAGGTCCCACAACTGGACCCCCCAAAAAAAAAGAAAAGAAATAAAATAGAGGTTGTGAAGGTGGTAGAGTGCTTGCCTTGAATTCATGAGGCCCTGGGTTTGATTCCTCAGTACCACATAAGCAGAAAAGGCCAGAAGTGGCACTGTGGCTCAAGTAGTAGAGTGCTCACTGGCCTTGAGCTAAAGAGGTGAGGGCCCAGAGTTCAGGCCCCACAACTGACAAAAAAAATGAAATAGAACAAAATAAAAATAGGGGCTAGGAAGGTAGCTCAGTGGTAGAGTGCTTGACTTGCATGCATGAGGCCTGAGGTTCAATTCCTCAGCCCCACATAAGCAGAAAAAGCTAGAAGTGGTGCTGTGGCTCAAGTGGTAGAGCTCTAGCCTTGAGCTGAAGAGCTGAGGGACAGCACCCAGGACCAAAGTTCAGGCCCCACAACCGACCAAAAAATAAATAAATAAATAAAAATAAAATAAAAATAAAGTTGATATTGTATAATGTTATATTTTTGTTTAAATTCACAAATTTACAAATGTTTGACCAAATAATACAAATAATTAGATGTTCTGTCTAAATCCAACAGAGAAAGCATATTTTACTTTTCAATTTAAATTTTACTTTATTTTAAAAAAATTTGTTAAAAAATACTCAATGCAAAACCAGATAATTGATGATCTACCTGAATCTACATCTTTTAGTACATCTGTCTACAGATGGCATTGAAAAATAGCTGTCAGACATACACTAGCATATCCACAGCTTACTCCTCACCTTCATGCACAGCTCTGCCTTGTCAAAGCCCATCAGCATGTTGATAATGTCAAACCCAGAAGTAGATTTATTCTTTTGGTGAACTCCTCGAATAAGTGCACACAATGTCTAAAGAGATAAGAGAAATAGTTATTCCTAGAGAAGAACCTTTTTCTCTTCTTTTCTTTTTACTTCTGAGACTAGGATTCAAACTCAGTATCTGCTACTCTCACTCACTGGCTTAGCACTCTACCAACTAAGCCACACCAACAACCCCTATAAGGTTGGTTATTTCTTTTTTTTCTTTTAGGTCTGAGACCGGAACTCAAACTCTGTACCTCTACCGAAGAACTTTCTTAAAATTACAAGGACATAAATTTGTAACTGCAGGGCTGGGAAGGTGGCTCAGTGGTAGAGCACTTGCCTTGCATGCCTGAGGCCCTGGGTTCAATTCCTCAGCATCACATAAGCAAAAAGAAAAAGCCGGAAGTGGCACTGTGGCTCAAGTGGTAGAGCGCTAGCCTTGAGCAGAAGAGCTGAGGGACAGCGCCCAGGCCCTGAGTTCAGGCCCACGACTGGACCCAAAAAAAAAAAAATTTGTAACTGCATATTACAACCCCTACCTCACAAAGTTGATCTTTCTTTTCTGATACTCTGAACTCCAAAACACAATGAGTCTGTTGTGGGCTTTTTTAGTGCCAGTTCTTGAACTAAGGGCCTCTCACCCTTACTCAGCTTAAGTGAGTAGACTGGAGCTCTATCATAAAGTCATGCATCCACCTAGCATGTTGGTTAATTGGAAGTGGAGTACTATAGAGTTTTCTGCCTGAGTTGGGTTTGAACCTCAATCCTCCAGGTCTCAGCCTGCTAAGTAGCTAGGATTGCAGGCCTCATTTTTTTTTGGGGGGGGGGGTCCGGTCATGGGGCCTGAACTCTGAGCCTGGGCGCTGTCCCTCAGCTCTTCAGCTCAAGATAACGCTCTACCACTTGAGCCACAGCACCACTTCCGGCTTTTTTCTTTTTGCTTATGTGGTGCAGAGGAATCGAACCCAGGGCCTCATGCATGCAAGGCAAGTGCTCTACCACTGAGCCACCTTCCCAGCCCCTAGGCCTCATTTTTCTGTTTTTAGCCATTCTCTTTTGGTTGTTGTTATTGTGGTCATTTCCTTTTAGAAATTACACAGCAATGCTGGATATGGTGGTTCATCCTTATAATCCTAGCTACTTGGGAAATAGAGATTAGGATTATGGTTCAAGGCCAAACTGGTCAAAAAGTTACTAAGGAGGGCTGGGAAGGTGGCTCAGTGGTAGAGCGCTTGCCTTGAATGCCTGAGGCCCTGGCTTCGATTCCTCAGCACCACATAAGCAAAAAAGAAAAAAGCCCGAAGTGGCGCTATGGCTCAAGTGGTAGAGTGCTAGCCTTGAGCTAAAGAGCTGAGGGACAGCACCCAGGCCCAGAGTTCAGGCCCTACGACCGGACCCAAAAAAAAAAAAAAAAAAGTTACTGAGGAACCATCATCTCAACAACAAAAAAAATCTGAGTGTGGTAGTGCACACCTGTTACCTAAGCTACATGGGAGACATAAGTAGAAGAATCACAGCAGTCCATGCCTGCTGAAACAAAGAAACAAAACCACAATAACACATACACACACACACACACACAAAAATACTAGGGCTGGGAAGGTACCCCAGTGGTAGAGTGCTTGCCTTGCAAGGCCCTGGGTCCAATTCCACCACATAAGCGGAAAAAGCCAGAAGTGGTACTATGGTAGAGTGCTCAGCTTGAACTGAAGAGCTGAAGGATTGCCCAAGAGTTCAGGCCCGGTGACCAACAACAACAACAACAAAAAAAAAAAAACTATAAGATCCTACCTGAAAAATAAAGCAAAAAAGGTAAGAGACATGGCTCAAGTGGTAGAAGGCCTACCTAGAAAGCTCAATGTCCTTCTGGGCTCTGGTGGCTCACACCTGTAATCCTAGCTACTCAGAAGGCTGAGATGTGAGGGTTGCAGTTCAAAGCCAGCCCAGGCAGGAAAGTCCATGAGGCTCTTTTTTTTTTTTTTTGGTCGGTCATGGGGCTTGAACTCTGGGCTTGAGCACTGTCCCTCAGCTCTTCAGCTCAAGGCTAGCACTCTACCACTTGAGCTACAGAGCCACTTCCGGTTTTCTGGTGATTTTCACGGACTTTCCTGCCAGGGCTGGCTTTGAACCACAATCCTCAGATCTCAGCCTCCTGAGTACCTAGGATTATAGGCATGAGCCACTGGCACCCAGCCTCATGAGACTCTTATCTCCAATAAACCACCAGAAAACTGGAAGTGGTGCTCAAGCGGTAGAGAGCTCGCCTTGAGCTGAAGAGCTGAGCCCAGAGTTCAAGCCCCATGACCAACAAAAGAAAAAAAAAGCTGGAAGTAGAAGTGGGAGTGGTCTATGACTCAAGTGGTAGAATACTAGTCTTCAGCAAAAAGGGGCTCAGGAACAGTGCCCTGAGTTCAAGCCCCAGGATCGGCAAAAAGAAAGGGGGCGGGGGGGGGGGGGGGGAGGGAAGGAGGAAGGGAGGAAGGAAGAAAGGAAGAAAGGGGGCTGGGAAGGTGGCTCAGTGGTAGAGCGCTTGCCTTGCATGCATGAGGCCCTGGGTTCAATTCCTCAGCACCACATAAGCAAAAAGAAAAAGCCGGAAGTGGCGCTATGGCTCAAGTGGTAGAGCGCTAGCCTTGAGCTGAAGAGCTGAGAGACAGCACCCAGGCCCAGAGTTCAGGCCCCATGACTAGACCAGAAAAAAAAAAAGTGATTCTTATGTTTTTTAATTACAGACCCAAAAGAGAATCTGATAAAAAACCACTCTCGGTTGCCATGAGAGTACATGTCTATAACTCCAGAATTTAGGAGATTGAAGCTGGAGGATTTCAAATCTCTAGGTTAGATACTGAGTTTGAGGCCAGCCTGGATTACGGAGCAATATACTTCCTGAAAAACTAAAACAAAGATCACTTTCTAGAAGAAATTACATAAACTAAAATATTACTTATGATTTTGGTGAGTCAAAGACTTCCTAAAAACCTCTGATTAGTTGGCCCCAGCGGCTCACGCCTACAATCCTAGCTACTCAGGAGGCTGAGATCTGAGGATCACAATTCAAAGCCAGCCCCGGCAGGAAAATCCATGAGACTCTTATCTCCAATAAACCATCAGAAAACCGCAAGTGGCACTGTGGCTCAAGCGGCACTGTGGCTCAAGCGCTAGCCTTGAGCTGAAGACCTGAGGGACAGCACCCAGGCCCAGAGTTCAAGACCCATGACCAACAACAACAACAAAAAACTCAGATTAAGAACTTCTAATCTACGGGCTGGGAAGGTGGCTCAGTGGTAGAGTGCTTGCCTTGCATGCCTGAGGCTCTGGGTTCGATTCCTCAGCACCATATAAGCAAAAAGAAAAAAGCCAGAAGTGGCGCTGTGGCTCAAGTGGTAGAGCGCTAGAAGAGCTGAGGGACAGCGTCCAGGCCCAGAGTTCAGAGGGATAGCGTCCAAGCCCAGAGTTCAGAGGGACAGCGCCCAGGCCCAGGTTCAGGTGGTAGAACGCTAGAAGAGCTGTGGGACAGCACCCAGGCCCAGAGTTCAGGCCTCATGACCGGACCCAAAAAATAAAAATAAAAATAAATTAAAAAAAAAAAGCGGCTGGGAAGTTGGCTCAGTGGTAGAGCGCTTGCCTTGCATGCCTGAGGCCCTGGGTTCAATTCCTCAGTACCACATAAGCAAAAAGCAAAAAAAAGCTGGAAGTGGCGCTGTGGCTCAAGTGGTAGAGTGCTAGCCTTGAGCTGAAGAGCTGAGGGACAGCGCCCAGGCCCAGAGTTCAGGCCCCACGACCAGACCCAAAAAAAAAAAAAAAAGAACTTCTAATCTAGGAAGCCAAACACAGTGGCGCACACCTATAGCTCCCAAAACAGAGATAAGGAGGATTGAGATTTGAGACCAGCAGCACAAAAGTTAGGAAAATGGGCTGGGAATGTGGCTTAGCATGCATGAAGCCCTGGGTTCAATTCCTCAGGACCACATAAACAGAAAAAGTCAAAAGTGGCGCTGTGGCTCAAATGGTAGAAGGCTAGCCTCAAGTGGCCCAGTGACTCAAGTGGTACTGCACTAGCTTTGAGCTGAAGAACTGAGGGACAGTGCCCAGGCCCTGAGTTCAAGCTCCAGAACCAGCAAAAAATAAAAAGAGAAACAGAGGGGGAGAGGGGGGAAAAGAGGAGAGGGGGAGATAGAATGAGAGAGAACTACACTCTAGGATGTAGTTTAATGGTAGAATAGTTCCCTAATATATTTGAGGTCCAGGGTTCAATCCCCAACACCACAAAAAAAACAACTCTTTATTGAGTAGAAAATACTATACTGCCGGGGGCTGGTGGCTCACGCCTGTAATCCCAGCTACTCAGGAGGCTGAGATCTGAGGATCACGGTTCAAAGCCAGCCCGGGCAGAAAAGACTGTGAGACTCCTATCTCCAATAAACCACCAGAAAACTGGAAGTGGCGCTGTAGCTCAAGTGGTAGAGAGCTCGCCTTAAACTGAAGAGCTGAGGGACAGCGCCCAGGCCCAGAGTTCTAGTCCCATGACCGACCAAAAAAAAAAAAAAAAAGAAAGAAAATATTACACTAAGAATCTTTCCTGAAGTTTGATATAATTATTCTTGCTTTAGTTTCCTCTCTACTTCTTTTTTTCCCTTAAATAATAACAAAAATTCTTCCAGGTACTAAAGCTCATTCTATAATCCAAGCTATTCAAGAAGCTGCAATCTAAGGCTACAAGTTTCAAGTTATCCTGGGCAGAAAAGTCTGTCAGACTCTTATCTCAAGTTAACCAGCAAGGGCTGGGAAGGTGGCTCAGTGGTAGAGCGCTTGCCTTGCATGCATGAGGCCCTGGGTTCAATTCCTCACCACCACATAAGCAGAAAAAAAAAAGCCGGAAGTGACACTATGGCTCAAGTGGTAGAGCGCTAGCCTTGAGCTAAAGAGCTGAGGGACAGTGCCCAGGCCCAGAGTTCAGGCCTCACGACCAGACCCAAACCCCCCCCCCCCCAAAAAAAAATCAAGTTAACCAGCAAAAAATGGAAAGTGGAAGTGTGACTCAAGTGATAGAGCACCAGCCTTGAGTAAAAATAAAGCCAAATGAGGATAATAATAAATAAATGCCTCTGTCAATCTGTCTTAGTGTTAGACCAAATTATATAAATATATATACATAAATATAATATATATACATATATGTATATATAAATATGTATACATAAGATTATCATTTTTTCTTCTTTTTTTGCCAATCCTTGGGCTTGAACTCAGGGCCTAGGCACTGTCCCTAAGCTTCTTTTGTTCAGGCTATTATCACTCTACCACTTGAGTGCCAGCACCACTTTGGCTTTTTCTGTTTATGTATACTGAGGAATTGAACCCAAGACTTCATGCATGCTAGGCAAGCACTCTACCACTCTGCCACATTCCCACCTCATAAGTTTATCATTTTAAATATTACTCTGTTTAAACAGGTACATGACTGAACAACCTGACCTAGATATTTGAAAAAAGAAATTTAAAACTGGGATCGTGGTTCAAAGTCGGCTTAGGCAGGAAAGTCAATGAGATTCTTTTTTTTTTGGTCATGGGGCTTGAACTCAGGGCCTGAACTCTGTCCCTCAGCTCTTCAGCTCAAAGCTAGTGCAGTACCACTTGAGTCACTGGGCCACTTCCAGATTTCTAAGTGTTTTATTGGAGATAAGAGACTTATGGAAGGGCTTGGAAGGTGGCTCAGTGGTACAGTGCTTGCCTTGCATGCCTGAGGCCCTGGGTTCCATTCCTCAGCACCACATAAGCAGAAAAAGCCGGAAGTGGTACTGTGGCTCAAGTGGTAGAGTGCTAGCCTTGAGCTGAAGAGCTGAGGGACAGCACCCAGGCCCAGAGTTCAGGCCCCATGACTGGACCCCTCCCCCCCCACAAAAAAAAAGTCTCATGGACTTTCCTGCCTGGTCTCGCTTTGAACCATGATCCTCAGATCTCAGCCTCCTGAGTAGATATGATTATAGGCGGGAGCCATGGGCGCCCTGACAATGAGAGAGACTCTTATCTCCAATTAATCACAGAAAAAGCCAGAAGTGCTGCAGAGCCAATGGCTCACATCTGTAATCCTAGCTATGCAGGAGACTGAGACCTGAGGATCACAGTTCACAGCCAGCCCTGGCAAAAAAGTCAATGAGACTCTTATCTTTAATAAACCACAAGAGCCAGATGCTGGTGGCTCATGCTTGTAATTCTAGTTTAGCTACTTAGGAGGCTGAGATCTGAGGATCATGATTCAAAGCCAACCCAGGCAGAAAAGTCCAAGAGACTCTGATCTCCAATAAACCACTAGAAAACTGGAAGTAGCACTATGGCTCAAGAGGTAGAGCGTTTGTCTTGAGCTGAAGAGCACAGGGGTGGTGCCCAAGCCCAGAGTTCAAGCCCCACGACCGACAAGAAAGAAAGAAAGAAAGAAATGCCCATATCCAAAGACAATTCTAGGTTCCTCAGGTTCCAATATATGGATTATGATTCATTTCTTCTATTAAATAAATGCTTCCCAATCCCTCAGCCCTGTACCTGCAATGCATTGACAACTCGAATTGGATGCTCCTCTCCCAAAGCCTGGATGCAGTGTTGAAACAAACTATTTATATTATCCTTGATCTTCATTAATTCCTCACCATCAAGTGATTCCAGCTTGCCTTCTAGATAATCTAAATTCACCTGTCAAGGAAATAATAATGGCCTGAGCACAATTTTTTTTTTTTGGGGGGGGGGGGGGGGGAGTCCGATTGTGGCCCTGAACTCTGGGCCTGGGCGCTGTTCCTCAGCTCTTCAACTCAAGGCTAGCGCTCTACCACTTGAGCCACAGCGCCACTTCCAGCTTTTTTCTTTTTGCTTATGTGGTGCTGAGGAATCCAACTCAGGGCCTCATGCATGCAAGGCAAGCACTCTACCACTGAGCTACCTTTCCAGCCCGTGAGCACAATTTTAGTATAGAACATATGGCAGTCTTGGTTACTAGGAAAGCCCACATAATGCCATCCAGTCTTACCTTCATGAGAAAGAGTTCCTCCCAAAAACGAGGACTGCACTTACTTGGATCCTCTGTCTGAAACCAGAAGATAAGCATGTTCAACTTTCCAAGTAAAAAGGCTTAACAATAGTATGCATTTGCTGGGCACTAGTTGCTCACACCTGTAATCTTAACTACAAGAGGCTGAGATCTGAAGATCAAAGACTGAAGCCAGCCTGGGCAGAAAAGTGTGTATGAGACTCTTATCTTAAATTAACCAGCTGCAAGTAGACAAAAAAGCCAAGCAAAAGTCTAAGGTCCTGAGTTCAAGCCTCAGAACCAGATAGACAGACAGACAGACAGACAGACAGACAGACAGACAGATAGATAGATAGATAATAGATAGATGTAGAAAAATGGTAGATAGATGGATGGATGGATGGATGGATGGATAGATAGATAGATAGATAGATAGATAGATAGATAGATAGATAGATAGATAGATAGATAGATAGATAGATAGAGATGATAGATAGATAGATAGAAAGACAGACAGACATAGATATATACATAGATACTTACATAGATGCAAATACATATATAAACAGGTACATAGATAAGAAAGAATAATATACTTAGTTGCAGGGCACCTGTGGCTCACATCTGTAATCCTATCTACTCTGGAGGCAGAGGAAGTCAGAAAGATCAAGGCTCAAAGACAATCCTGGCAAAGTTCGTGAGACTTCATCTCAACCAATAGCTGAGTGCAGTGGTGCACATTTGTCATTCCACCTATAGCAGGAAGGGTAAATAGGAGGATCATAGTCCATGAAGCCTGAACAAAAAATGAGGACCTATCTCAAAAATAACCAGAGCAGGGCTGGGAAGGTAGCTCAGTGGTAGAGTGCTTGCCTTGCATGCATGAGGCCCTGGGCTCGATTCCTCAACACCACATAAGCTGAAAAAGCTGGAAGTGGTGCTGTGGCTCAAATGGTAGGGTGCTAGCCTTGAGCTGAAGAAGTGAGGGACAGTGTCCAGGCCCAGAGTTCAGGCTCCACGAGCAGCAAAAAAAAAAAAAAAAACAGAGCAGCCAGGTGCAGGTGGCTCATGGATCCTGGCTACTCAGAAAGCTGAGATCTAAGGATCGAAGTTCAAAGGCAGCCTAAGCAGGAAGTCCATGAGACTGTTATCTCCAATTAAGTACCATATACCCCAAAGTAGAGCTGTGGCTCTAGTGGTAGAGTGTTAGCCTTGAGCAAAAATTAAAAATTAAAAAAAGGGGCTGGGAAGGTAGCTCAGTGGTAGAGCGCTTGCCTTGCATGCATGAGGCCCTGGGTTCGATTCCCCAGCACCACATAAGCAAAAAGAAAAAAGCCGGAAGTGGCGCTGTGGCTCAGGTGGTAGAGTGCTAGCCTTGAACTTAAGAGCTGAGAGACAGCGCCCAGGCCCAGAGTTCAGGCCCACTACGGGACCCAAAAAAATAAATAAATAAAAATAAAAAAAAAAACAGAGCAACACTGATCACAATACATTTGTACTCATAAAGTGACATGCTGAATTGAATTCTACAACTATTTAAAGACGTTTTTGTGTGTGCTAGTTCTGGGGGCCTGGCACTGTCCCTGAACTTTTGTGCTCAGTGCTCTACCACTTTGAACCACAGCATCATTTCTGGCTTTTTGGTAGTTAAATGGAGATGAGAATCTCACAGACTTTCCTGCCAGAGCTGGCTTTATTTTTTTTTTTTGTTGTTGGTTGTGGGGCTTGAACTCTGGGCCTGGGCGCTGTCCCTCAGCTCTTCAGCTCAAGGCGAGCGCTCTACCACTTGAGCTACAGCGCCACTTCCGGTTTTCTGGTGGTTTATTGGAGATAGGAGTCTCACGGTCTCTCCTGCCCAAGCTGGCTTTGAACCGCGATCCTCAGATCTCAGCCTCCTGAGTAGCTAGGACTACAGGCGTGAGCCACCTGCGCCCGGCCAGAGCTGGCTTTAAACCACAATCCTCAGATCTCAGCCTTCTGAGTAGCTAGGATTATGGGTGTGAGCCACTGGATCCCAGCAATGAAAAAAAAAAAAGGAAAAATTAATTAGTCATTAAATGGAGAAAAAAAATAACAGCAAAATGAAAAAAGGCTGGAAGCATGGCTTAAGCAATAGAACACTCAACTAGCAAGCACAAAATTCAAACCCTTAGTTCAAATCCAAGTACAAGAAAGAAAACAAATTCAACATATGGTCATTCTTTATAAGCATACACATTTATATGTACAACTACACAAATACCAGTAATACATATAATACCAAAAGTAAATAGTTTAAATGTGCTACAGTGACCAGAATTTCCAAGGGCCAGTACTCCTGAAGGGTTTCTAGTAAGTCTAGCCTTCCTTCATAGAATATATTTTACAATATAAACTTGGACCATGTCAATTAACAGTTCTGAAAATTGAAAGAAATTCAATTGCTAATAATTCTGTTATCCTATGTAGCTAGAGTACAAGATAGTCTAAACAAGGGTTCTGTCCATTAACAACCTGAGGTGGAATGTAAAATGTATCTTTTTAAAATATCTGAATTGTATAATTTGAACACCAAAAAAAAATTTATAAAGATAAAAGCATCTTTAAGGCAGATAATAAGAAAAATAAGACATTTTTATCTCTTTTGATTCCAGTAGTGGGGCCTGAAGTCAGGACCTGGGCCCTGTCCCTTACTTGTGTGTGTGTGTGGGGGGGGGGGGGGGGGGCGCTTGAACTCTGGGCCTGGGGGCTGTCCCTGCGCTCTTCAGCTCAAGGCAAGCACTCTACTGCTTGAGCCACAGCACCACTTCTGGTTTTCTAGTGGTTAATTGGAGATAAGAATCTCACAGACTTTTCTGCCCAGGTTGGCTTTGAACCATAATCCTCAGATCTCAGCCTCCTGAGTAACTAGGATTATAGGCATGAGCTACAAGCGCCTGGCTCCCTTACATTTTTTAATCAAGGCTGGTATTCTACCACTTATGCCACATCTCTACTTCCAGCTTTTCACTAGTGAATTAGAGATAGTCTCACAGATTTTCTGTCCAGGCTGGCTTCAAACCATGATCTCAGCCTTCTGAGTAACTAGGATCATAGGCATGAGCCACCTACACAGCTAAGACTTTCTCTCTTTTTTCTTTTTTTTCTTTTGCCAGTCATGGGGTTTGAACTCAAGGCCTGGACACTGTCCCTGAGCTTCTTTTACTCAAGGCTAGCACTCTACCCAGGGCTTCATGCACACTAGGCAAGTACTCCACCACTAAGCCACATTCCCAACCCTCAGCTAAGACTTTCTTAAAGATATTTGGGGGAAAAAATTCCTCAGCCTTCCTTCCTCCTTTCAATTGTTTTATTCAATTTATGGAAAAAACATGTAAGAACATAATACCAATTACAATAATTAATACATAATCAAAATCCCTACCATAAGAAATTACCCTGTCCTTGAGCTTCCTCCCTCTCTCTGCCCTCCTATAATCCCCTTTAAAGGTAGCAGTCAGTGGTAAGGTTATTTCTTATTTTACACCGAATAATTAAGGAGTCAAGCTGTGCAGTACGATAGAGCAACAGGACTTACCATGAAGATCTCATCATACATCAGTACCACTTTTTCCTTTAGTGGTTTTTTGGAGGCTGAAGATTTCCGGAGCAAACCTCCCCGTTTTTCTACTTGTGCCATGGTTAAAGAGCCTGGGGAGGTGGGGGGAGCCACATTTTAGAGTAGTAAAAATAATCTCTATGACAGTATACAGTGTATATATGTTAAGATGCATTATCCAAACCCATAAACCATACAACACCAACAGTACACTGATGTAAAATGTGGATATGATATGTTAATGATATATAATTAAATAAGGATTCATCAACTATAACAAACATCACACTGGTGAGGGGTATTATTAATGGGAGAAATAGTCAATATATAGTGACTAGGAACAAATGGATTGTCTGTGCACCATCGTCTCAATTGTGCTGTGAACTTAAAATGCTCAAAAAAATAAATAAATAAAATATTTTAAGAAGAAAAAGAAAGCCACAATCAGTACCAGAATGTGCTCCAGGATGCCAGAAAGTCTATTGAAATTTGCAATGGGAAATTTTTCAGGAAAAAAAATGATTAACAACCATGCTATAGATTGCGTATAGCTAGCTACCTAACACCCCACCCTAGACCAGGTAATGTCAAAGTTTAAAATATTACATGGCCTACAGCACAACACATTTTACATCCTTAAAATGTGCCAGTGGACAGGGCTTAAAGCAGATCTAAAACCAAATAGGAAAGTGTAACTAGCTCAATCTATAATAGATCTGGCTATAAATCTAAGGATGATAGAAATAAGGCTGCAAAGCATACACAGCCCACAGACTGATGGCAAAGTTGAAGTTCAAATATTGATCTAGCTTAGGACCATTAAGGCAGGAAGTGTACTGCAGACTGATGTGCTCCATCGATTTTCCTGAAGAAAGGAGGTCCTCATCACTGCAAAGTACTTGGCCTTCATTGCCTCATAAATCACATTGCACTTGACTGTCTTCAGAAAATTCCTCTGGAAGAAGACTCAAGGCATAAAATAGCAGAGGCCAAAAATTAAATCAGGTTTAAAAAAATCTGAGTATTATACTACTTTCAAATTTAATTGTATATATTTCTAACAATGTTGAAGATCAAACTTCAATATATTCCACATAATTCTGTGATACTCTGTAAGAGAATGAGAGGGGATGAAGGAAAAAGACAGAGGATGAGTAATTTTAAAATATAGTACAACTGGGCTGGGAAGGTGGCTCAGTGGTAGAGTGCTTGCCTTGCATGCATGAGGCCCTGGGTTCGATTCCTCAGCACCACATAAGCAGAAAAAGCCGGAAGTGGCGCTGTGGCTCAAGTGGTAGGGCACTAGTCTTGAGCTGAAGAGCTGAGGGACAGCGCCCAGGCCCAGAGTTCAGGCCCCACAACTGGCAAAAAAAAAAAAAAATATATATATATATATATATACATATATATATAGTATAACTATGTGTGTAGACAGCACAAAGAACCTCAATGTAAGCTATTCATCAACAGAGGATAGGGGCAGGAGATGAAAGGCCAACAGAAATGGTTATCCTGAGAAAATACAATACATGCATGTTTGAAATACCATACTGAAACCCCTTGGTATAACTAATACATGCTTTTAAAATTACAATTATGCCAGGCACTAGTGGCTCATGCCTGTAATCCTAGCTAAGATTTGAGCATCATGGTTCAAAGTCAGCCTGGCCAGGAAAGTCCATGAGACTCTCATCTCCAGTAAACTCATAATGAAAACAGAATAAGCCAGGCACCAGTGGCTCATACCTGTAATCCTAGCTTCTAAGGAGGCTAAGATTTGATGATCATGGATCAAAGTCAGTCTGGGCAGAAAAGTCCATGAGACTCTTATCTCTAATTAACCACCAGAAAACTGGAAGTGGTGCTATGGCTCAAGTGGTAGTGTAAGGAAACGCCCACCTCACAGACCTAATCTCCTCTCTTGATGGCAGCCTCATAAAGTAGGTGAGGCAACTTCCACTTCCTGGCCCTGACTATATAAAAGGGGCCTCCAAGGAGCCAGACAGTGCCATTTTCTCCCTTTCCTCATGAGAATTTGGCCTTGTCAGCTCTGCTGGCAATAAATCTTTTCTTCTACTTGACTTCTGTCTGTGTGGTCTTTTGGGTTACTTTCTTTTAGGTTACTTTCTGCCTGGGTTACATTCTTCCTTTCAGGTAGAGTACTAGCTTTTAGCTGAAGAGCTCAGGAACAGTGCCCAGGCCCAGAATTCAAGCCCCACATCCGAGGAAAAAAAAAAAAAAAGAAAATAGAACAATAAAGGGCTGGGAATGTGGCTTAGTGGTAGAGTGCTTGCCTAGCATGCATTAAGCCCTGGGTTCTATTCCTTGGTACCACATAAACAGAAAAGGCCAGGGCCTGGGAAGGTGGCTCAGTGGTAGTAGAGTGCTTGCCTTGCATGCCTGAGGCCCTGGGTTCAATTCCTCAGCACCACATAAAGCAAAAAGAAAAAAGCCGGAAGTGATGCTGTGGCTCAAGTGGTAGAGTGCTAGCCTTGAGCTGAAGAGCTGAGGAACAGCGCCCAGGCCCAGAGTTCAGGCCCCACAACCGGACCCAAAATATAAAAAATAAAATAATAAAAATAAATAAATAAATAAATAAACAGAAAAGGCCAGAAGGGGCACTGTGGCGCACATGGTAGAGTGCTAGAATTAAGCAAACGAAACTCAGGGATGTTGTCCAGTCCCTGAGTTCAAGCCCCAGGACTGGCCAAAAAAAAGAAAAGACTCAAATGCAGGTGTGGCTCAAATGATAGAACACAAGTCCTTGAGTTCAAAACTCCAGTACTACCAAAATAAAAAAAGGAAAGTTCTTTTAAAACAATTTAATTATATCAATTAAAGCTTTGCCTCAAAGCATGAAATGCATCTCCTGTTCAAAACATTCCTGTGACTTTTAAATATGTTTTCAAGAAGAAAATGTCCTCATCCAGGGAAAATAAATTGGAAATCAAGGAGATCCTATTAAAATAAATCAAAAGCAATAAAATTCTAAGTTTAGTGGATATAGATTCTGCATGTACTCAGCCTCTACAAGTTGATTAACCAGAACATCAGGGCCACAGAGTTCCTAGATGTGAAAAGCACATGTTTACAAATATCCCTCTCTGAGAATTTATAAATGGGTTACAGCTAATCAATATCCACCCCAAATCTAATAAACTTACTCTGTATCAGAATCAATATTTTCTAATAAGAAAAAGAGAATAGGAGAAAAGAAAAAAAAATCCAATCCAAAGTACCAAATTTCCTAAGAAATTGAGTTGTTTTCATCACTCTCCTTCCATTTAGGACAGGGGGAATTTCAGCCAAATGCCTTACCCATTACTCTGTGTCATTATCACTAGCAACTGGAATTTACCACCCAAGCCAGCTGAAATGTGGCTAGAAACTGACAACACAAAGTCTCCTCCAGCCAGCACTCCTCCTCATGAAACAGCAAAACAAGAGTTTCTGGGGTCTTAAACTAGGAAAAGTACAGAATTAACAAAAGTTTTCTTTGGGTCCTAGTAAGCCTATACTCCAAAATTTCCAAGTAAAACATCTGTTGGTAGAATAGTCCATTAGAGCACATTAGTAATAAGAGTACCACCTGTTTTTATTATCTCCCTGTTTTGTCCTCTTTTATAACGTTTTCCCATTGTAGAGAACCAGAGCAACTCCAACAATGGAGCTACATGGCACAATGTAACAACCAACCAGCAGAACTGCTACTAGAACACAGCCAACTGGGAACACTGACTAGGGTCACTGTGTTTCTTAGTTTCTTCACAAGTACAAGTGGAGAATTAAGCCAGGCACCAATGTAATCCTAACTGTAATCCTAGTTACTCAGGAGGCTGTGATCTAGAGGATCCCAGTTCAAAGTCAGCCCAGGCCAAAAAGTTTGCTAGACTCTATCTCCCCAAAAGCAGCAAAGAGAACAGCAAAAAGCAGAGCTAGAGGTGTGTGCCTCACCAGTACAGCACCAGCCTAGAAAGTGCAAGACTGAGTGCAAACCTCTAGTACTACCAAATAAGAAGAGGAGGAAGAGGAGTAGGAGCAGGAGGAAGAGGAAGAAGAAACTAAAATGTCTCTTAACATCATTGAAATACTACAAAATATTTAAGGCGTACCTAAGTACTCTAAGGTACTAGTTTAGTCACTATAAGCCACAGGGATGAGACTCCTTACCTGATCTCTAGGAGTTCACAATCTACTAGCAAACAGAAGCAGGAAAACATAAGCACAAAGCAGCTTAGGAGAAATGAATGGAGTAGAGTTACAAAGAAAATGGCATGGAATCATAAGTGAGGAAGCATTCTTTGGGGGCTGGGAAAGTAGCTCAGTGGTACAGTGCTTGCCTTACACGCATGAGGCCCTGGGTTCCATTCCTCAGCACCACATAAGCAGAAAAAGGCGGAGGTGGCACTGTGGCTCAAGTGGTAGAGTGCTAGCCTTGAGCTGAAGAGCTGAAGGGCAGCGCCCAGACCCAGAGTTCAGGCCCCACGAATGACAAAAAAAAAAAAAAAAAATTTAAAGCATTCTTTGACTATTAATACCTCTGTATTTTAACTCTTCTGGCAAAGAAGCAAACCCAGCAAAGGCAGAATAATCTCACAAAACTATCAGCTTTGGGCTGGGAATGTGGCCTAGTGGAAGAGTGCTTGCCTAGCATGCATGAAGCCCTGGGTTCAATTACTCAGTACACAGAAAAAGCCAGAAGTGGCATTGTGGCTCAAGTGGTAGAGTGCTAGCCTTGAGCAAAAGAAGCTGAGACAGTGCCCAGGCCCTGAGTTCAAGCCCCAGGACTGCAGTGGGTGGCAGGGGGAGGGGAGGGAATGTCAGCATTACCAGGCACTAATAATTTACACCTGTAATCCTAGTTTCTCAGGAAGTAAAGGTCTGAGGATGACAGCTCAAAGCCAACCTGGGCAGGGGGCAGGAAAGTTCCTGAGACTTTTATCTCCAATAAACTATTTAAAAAAAAAAAAGAGCTCTAGGACAGCACCCAGGTCCTGAGTTCAAGTGCTAGGACTGGCACCAAAAGAGAGAAAGAAAGAGAAAGACAGACAGAGACAGAGAGGGAGAGGCTCCATCTCCAAAATAACCAGCA